CACGAAGCGTGGACGGACAGAACGAAATGAAAATTAAACGACAGAGGGAGCTGACCAAAAGAGCATGAAAACGAAGATATATATGAAGGTGACAGATGGCAAATGATCATGAAAAATGAGACATGATAAAAGATGGGTAAAGACTTCTCTGTACAAAAGCTTCTTTGCATAAAAGCTTCTGCAAGTAAAAGCTTCTGTGGGCAAGAACTTCTCTGTGTAAAGGTTTTTGGTGTAAAAGCTCTTGTGTGTAAAATCTTCTGTGTAAAACGCGCTCTGTGTCTAAAAGTTTCTGTTTGCGAAAGTTTCTTTGCGTACCAGCTTCTGTCTGTAAAAGCTCCTCTGTGTTAAGGCTTTGTTTGTGTAAAGCTTCTGTGTGCAAAAGCTTCTCTGTGTAAAAGACTTCTCTGTGTCAAAGCCTCTGAGTGTACAAGCTTCTCTGTGTAAAAGTTCCTCTGTGTAAAAGCTCCTCTGTGAAAAAGCCGCTCTGTGTAAAAGGCTTCTGTGTGTAAAAGCCTCTGTGTGTGCAAGCTTCTCTGTGTCAAGACTTCTTTGTGTAAAGATTTCTCTGTGTAAAAACTACTCTGTGTAAACGCTTCCGTGTAAACTCTTTCCTGTGTAAACGCCTCCGTGTGTAAAGACTTCTCTGTGTAAACCCGTCTGTGTGTAAAAGCTCCTTTGTTTAAAGGTTTTTTGTGTTAAAAGCTTCTGTGTGTAAAACCTTCGTAAAAGTTTCTGTGTGTAAAAGCTTCTGTGTGTAAAGGTTTCTGTGTGTAAAAGCTTCTGTGTATTAAAAAAACCTTATGTAAAAGCTTCTGTGTAAAAAAGCCCCCTGTGTGTACAAGCTTCGCTGCGTAAAAGCTGCTCTGTGTAAAAAATCTGTGCGCCGTAAAGTTGTCTGTTTGTAAAACCTCCTGTGTGTGTGTGAAAGCGTCTGTGTGTACAAGATTCTGTGTGCAAAAGCTCCTCTGTGCAAAGACTTCTCTGTGTAAACGCGTCTGTGCGTAAAGGCTTCTCTGTGTAAAGGCTTCTCTGTGTAAATGCGTCTGTGCGTAAAAGCTCCTCTGTGTAAGACTTCTCGGTGTACAAAGCTTCTGTGTGTGAAAGTTTCTGTGTGTAAAAGCTTTCCTGTGTAAAAGTTTTCTTGTGCAAAAGCTCCTGTGTGAAAAACTTCTCTGTGTAAAGGCTTTTTTGTGTAAAAACTTCTGTGTGTACAAGCTGCTCTGTGTTAAAGTTTCTGTGCGCCGAAAGAATGTCTATCTGTAACACCTTCTGTGTGTAAATCTCGTTTGTGTAAGGACTTCTCTCGTAAAAGCTCCTCTGTGTCAAGACTTCTTTGTACAAAAGGCTTCTCTCTGTAAAAGCCTTTGTGTGTACAGGCTTCTCTGTCTCAAGAGTTCTCTGTGTAAAGACTTCTGTGTGTAAAAGCTACTCTGTGCAAAAAAGCTTCTGTGCGTAAAGGCTTCTGTGTCAAGACTCCTCTGTGTCTGTGTAAACGCGTCTGTGTGTCAAAGTTTCTGTGTAAAGGCTTTTTTTGTGTAAAAGCTTCTCTGTGCATGTCCCATTTTTCAGCCTTTGCAAACCGTTTGACCGGTCTTGGGACCATTTGACCAGTCTTGGGTCCACAATTTTTTCAGGCCAATCGCAATGATGGCATTTGTCCTGAAAAAAACCCGTGCCAACAGTTCTGCCGCAAACTATTTTCAAGGTTTCCTATCCGTCCAGCATGCTGTCTCGCTCCCATCCAGCGCACTTTCCCCAAGCTATTTTCCACAGTTTTGTCCCGTCCAGCATGCTGTCCCGCTCCCTCCCCGCGCAGTTTCCCGAAGCTATTTCCACGGTTTTGTCCCGTCCAGCATCCGGTCTCGCTCCCTCCCAGCGAAGTTTCCCCAAGCTATTTTCCACGGTTTTGTCCCGTCCAGCATGCTGTCTCGCTCCCTCCCAGCGAAGTTTCCCCAAGCTATTTCCACGGCTTCATCCCGTCCAGCATCCAGTCTCGGTCCTTCCCAGCGAAGTTTCCCCAAGCTATTTCCACGGCTTCATCCCGTCCAGCATCCGGTCTCGCTCCCTCCCAGCGAAGTTTCCCCAAGCTATTTCCACGGCTTCATCCCGTCCAGCATCCGGTCTCGCTCCTTCCCAGCGAAGTTTCCCCAAGCTATTTCCACGGCTTCATCCCGTCCAGCATCCGGTCTCGCTCCCTCCCAGCGAAGTTTCCCCAAGCTATTTTCCACGGTTTCCCGTCCAGCATCCGGTCTCGCTCCCTCCGAGCGAAGTTTCCTCAAGCTATTTCCACGGCTTCATCCCGTCCAGCATCCGGTCTCGCTCCCTCCCAGCGAAGTTTCCCCAAGCTATTTTCCACGGTTTTGTCCCGTCCAGCATCCGGTCTCGCCCCCTCCCAGCGAAGTTTCCCCAAGCTATTTCCACGGCTTCATCCCGTCCAGCATCCGGTCTCGCTCCCTCCCAGCGAAGTTTCCCCAAGCTATTTTCCACGGTTTTGTCCCGTCCAGCATCCGGCCTCGCTCCCTCCCAGCGAAGTTTCCCCAAGCTATTTCCACGGCTTCATCCCGTCCAGCATCCGGTCTCGCTCCCTCCCAGCGAAGTTTCCCAAGCTATTTTCCACGGCTTCATCCCGTCCAGCATCCGGTCTCGCTCCCTCCCAGCGCAGTTTCCCCAAGCTATTTCCACGGCTTCATCCCGTCGAGCATCCGGTCTCGCTCCCTCCCAGCGAAGTTTCCCCAAGCTATTTCCCCGAGCTATTTCCACGGCTTCATCCCGTCCCAGCAATCCGTCTCGCTCCCTCCCCGCGAAGTTTCTTCCCAGCTATTTCCACTGCTTCATCATCCCGTCCAGCATTCCGTTCCCGCCTCCCTCCCCTCAGTTCTCCAAGCTATTTCCCACGGCTTCATCCCGTCCCAGCAATCCGGTCCGCTCCCTCCCACGAAGTTTTTACCCAAGCTATTTCCACGGCTTCATCCCGTCCAGCATCCGGTCTCGCTCCCTCCCAGCGAAGTTTCCCCAAGCGATTTCCACGGCTTCATCCCGTCGAGCCTCCGGTCTCGCTCCCTCCCAGCGAAGTTTCCCCAAGCTATTTCCCCAAGCTATTTCCACGGCTTCATCCCGTCCAGCATCCGGTCTCGCTCCCTCCCAGCGCAGTTTCCCCAAGCTATTTCCACGGCTTCATCCCGTCGCGCATCCGGTCTCGCTCCCTCCCAGCGAAGTTTCCCCAAGCTATTTCCCCAAGCTATTTCCACGGCTTCATCCCGTCGAGCATCCGGTCTCCCTCCCTCCCAGCGAAGTTTCCCCA